AGGACACTGATCACAGCACGGGAACAAACTAGCTTTGTCAAGCGTGAGCAAGATCAATGTAACTGGTCTCACATTTTACTGCCCATTTTAGGAAAGTAAAGGGAGGTGTGTAATGACTTGGGCTTTAATTTCATCAAAGAAAAACCAGTTGATTTCTAAAATTAAGTGTCTTCAGCTCCAGGGAGCTCCTACAAATCTACGTCCAAGATTCAGTAATCCCTCTTATTTCCCCATACATTTTCTATTCCAAGGGCCACACTTAAGGCCAGCTGTGTTTTATGATGTCATGTTGTACATACCATGGAAACAGTTCATTTGCTTTTAATTTCTACTTGATGTGACTCCTGCAGCTTATTTGCTACCTGATTTATATCTCTGAAGTCTGAAAAGGTAAGAGCCCGCTGAAGTATGATTTGATGAAACGCTCACATTCTTATCAATGTGCTGTTGCTGCCATTTATACAGCTTAGAGAATCAGGTTTATTTCTGGGCACTTTTGGAATCAATAATATTCTTTATTATTCCATTCCCTTGGCTTTTATGCTAAGAAGCAGTGTATGTGGTGTTCTCTTGTAATGATCTCCTTCTGGAATTCTCAATCTCAAGGTGTGGGTTCTTTGCTGGCAAGATTCCAGCTGTCTGAAGGACCGAGCAAACCTTCGCCACTGGTAGTGCAGTTTACAAGTGAAGGGAGCACTCTCTCCAGCTGTGATATAGAACTTGTGGGAGCAGGGTACCGGTTTTCACTCATTAAAAAGAGATTTGCAGCAGGTAAGTGTGTCACAAACCCCTTCTCCTTAACTGGATGGGCACTGAGTAACAGGTGCTCAGCCCAGGGAGTGCCATCAAGGGAGCTATAAGTATTTCACTGGCAGAATCTTCACAGGACATGTGTTGAATATGCCCAGTTCCCAGCCAGACTAGCCCAACCCTATTTCTTTCCTGTTTGTGAATAACATCAGAGTCAAAGTGGGCTGGTGCAGTGCACCATTAAGAACCAGCCACCAGCCCAGCCCACACACGACCGATGTTTTGTTCCCCCTCCCACCATTGGCAGCCCTCCTGGTAGGCAATGTTCCCTCCCGTGGTCACCAACCAGTAGATCGCGATCTACTGGTAGATCTTAGAGGCTCTAAGAGTAGCTCTTGAGCCCTCTCTGAACTGTGCGAAGAGAAGCGGCTTCCCGGCCGGCTGGCCATGGCGCTCAGCCAGGGTGCACCAAGCTCCACGTGGGCAGGCGCAGAGGGGAAGCTGCCTGATCCGCTGGAGCATGCTTCAGCCTCCTCTGGGCTGAAAGCCACAGCCAGCTGGCCAGGCAGCTTCTCCTCTGCGCCAGCCCATGTGGAGCGTGGTGCATCCTCGCTGAGCTTCAAAGAAGGGGTGGGACTTCAAGGAAGCGGCGGGGCTGTAGATCTTGGCTTGGTCTGTCATTTAAAAAGTGATCTTGGGTGTAAAGAGGTTGGAGACCACTAAGCTGTGGAGAAGCACAGCTTCACAGGTGATTCATGATCCCTGCCCAGTCACAGGCTCAGGGCTCTATGCATAAGAACAGCCATACTGGGTGAGACCAAGGGTCCATCTAGCCCAGTATCCTGTCTACCGACAGTGGCCAGCACCAGGTGCCCCAGAGAGGGTGGACCAAAGACAACAATCAAGCGATTTGTCTCCTGCCATCCCTCTCCAGCCTCTGACAGACAGAGGCCAAGGACACCATTTTATCCCCAGAGAGGGTGGACCAAAGACAATAATCAAGCGATTTGTCTCCTGCCATCTCTCTCCAGCCTCTGACAGACAGAGGCCAAGGACACCATTTTATCCCCTGGCTAATAGCCTTGTATGGACCTAACCTCCATGAAGTCCTAGCCTTTACAGCCTCCTCTGGCAAGGAGTTCCACAGCTTGACTACATGCTGTGTGAAGAAGAACTTTCTTTTATTAGTTTTAAACCTGCTCCCCATTAATTTCATTTGGTGTCCTCTAGTTCTTCTATTTAGGGAACTAATACATAACTTTTCTTTATCAGCATAACTTTTCTTTATCGGCCCTCTCCATTCCACTCATGATTTGGTATACCTCTATCATATCCCCCCTCAGTCTCCTCTTTTCTAAACTGAAAAGTCCCAGTTGCTTTAACCTCTCCTTATATGGGACCCGTTCCAAACGCCTAATCATTTTAGTTGCCCTTTTCTGAACCCTTTCCAAGGCCAAAATATCTTTTTTGAGATGAGGAGACCACATCTGTACACGGTATTCAAGATGTGGGTGTACCATAGTTTTATACAGGGGCAGTAAGATATTCTGGGTCTTATTTTTTATACCTTTCCTAATAATTGAACTGTCCACGATAACTCCAAGATCTCTTTCCTGATTTGTCGTAGCCAAATTAGCCCCCATCATACTGTACGTATAGTTGGGGTTATTTTTCCCGATGTGCATTACTTTACACTTATCCACATTAAATTTCATTTGCCATTTTGTTGCCCAATCACTCAGTTTGGTGAGATCTTCTTGGAGTCCCTCACAGTCTGCTTCTGTCTTGACTATCCTAAACAGTTTGGTATCATCTGCAAACTTTACTACCTCACTGCTTACCCCTTTCTCCAGATCATTTATGAATAAGTTGAAAAGGATTGGTCCCAGGACTGACCCTTGGGGTACACCACTAGTTACCCCTCTCCAATCTGAAAATTTACCATTTATTCCTACCCTTTGTTTCCTGTCTTTTAACCAGTTCTCAATCCAAGAAAGGACCTTCCCTCTTATCCCATGGCCATGTAATTTACACAAGAGCCTTTGGTGAGGGACCTTGTCAAAGGCTTTCTGAAAATCCAAGTATACTATATCTACTGGATCCCCCTTGTCCGCATGTTTGTTAACCCCTTCAAAGAACTCTAATAGATTAGTAAGACAGGATTTCCCTTTACAGAAACCATGTTGACTTTTGTCCAACAAATTATGTTCTTCTACATGCTTCACAATTTTATTCTTTACTATTGTTTCAACTAATAGCTGTGTTTAGTGAAAATTCTACGAGTTACAGGAGGAGGTATTCAAACTGAGGATCTTATTTGTAAGCAGAAGATACACAAAATGAGTCTTAAAATTGAATTAAAATATAGGTCCATAACGTCATTGACTCTGCCCTCATTTTCTCCCACTAAATTCAGCAAGTTTACAGACACTAATGAGGTCAGAACTTTAACCACACCATGAATAAGAACAGGGCCCATTTCTGTCATCTGTACTCATGTTGAGTTAGTACTTACACAAGTAGTCCTATTGAAATTGGTAGGACTGCTCACAGGAGTAAGTACCACTCCTGGAGGTAAACAGTGGAAGAATCACACACATAATGGTTAAGGGTGGGGAACCTAAGGCCTCAGGGCTCTCCCCCCCCCCCCAGCATTGGGGAGCCTGTGTTGGCACCCTATTGCAGGGCTGCAGCATTCAAAATCTACTAGCCTGCACCTTCCCCACTCAGGCTCTGGTGTGTGAGGAGAATGTGGGAAGTCTATCCTTCTCAGTCGGGGATCAAGTCAGTGACAGTTATGTTTTGGGGGGAGGGTTTGGCTCCTTGTGTGTGGCCCCCTGACTGATTTTTTTGTAGGTCAGCAGCCCCTGACCCAGAAATGGTTCCTCACCCCTGGATTAGAGCAATGAATCACATGGATTAGCAAGGAAAAAAAGAATGGTCTACTTTAGTGAAGCCACAGCTGTCTCTCTGTGATCCATATAGCTTAATTTAGATAAGGATTTTCTCTTAGTGTACATTTAAGGCTAAATGCAAAAGTATGAACACAATTCTGCAATGTTCAGAGAACATAAACTAACTTGTCAATATAGCATTTCTAAAATGTAGAAAATCATTTAGCATGCTTAGGATCAACTCTTAAAACTAATGTAATCTGCAAATACAGTACTTAGAGCAAGGGACTTGAAAGCAGGCAGTCGATTGAGATTTTTTGAACTTGTCACTGATCTGCTGTGTGATATTTGCCAAATGATTTAAGCTCTTCAGTCTCAGGTTACCTAGCTCTATATTAAATATAATGTATGTTCCTTACTGGGATGTTCTGAAATTAATTATAAATTATTATTATTGCATTAGAAATACACATTTTGGGATTACTTTCAAAGTCTGAAGAATACATAGCCATCTATACCCTCCCTGCCAACTAGCTGGTTATTCAGGACTTATTTTTAATTGCTCATTGAGGCTTATTGTTCTGCTGATACTATTAAGTAACTGGCTATAGTCATTAATTGTATTAAGTAGAAGCATTTGAACAGAATAATTTTATGGGTCACTCAGTTAACTTGAATTAATTCCAGCTCTCCAAATGAAAGGGTGGCAAATTTAATAATCTGTATGAATCCTATTTATCCTGTTTGACTTAGTGAGCTTATAGTTAATTTTAATCTGTGATGTACCATTTTCAAAAATTATAGCAGCCAGTCCTCTCCACTGCAACTATTTCAAGTTTCAGTATTCAGTATCTATTAAAGTCAACCTTTTTTCTTATTAGTCAGTCACACCATATATAAAGGTGAGAGCTATGTCTGCTCATAGTTATCTTAGAAGCTTCTAATTTTCTGTGGAAATTGGATTTTCATATGTATTTGAGAACCATCAACTTGCTGAATGGATTCTCAGTAGTATGAGGGAATATTAGCAATTGTTGAATAAACCATAAGAAAGTAGTAAGAGAATTCAACAGCATAGTTAAGATTTTTTATTTATTTTTGGGGTAATGCTTAAGTGCATTAGTCATGGAGCAGGAGCCCATTATGCTAGACACTGAAACTCAGAACAAAAATTTAGTCTTTGCCCCAAAGAGATTACAGTCTATGAATAAGACAAGAGATAGATGAATACAGATGGACTGATGGTCAAGTATAAGGAAATGAGGCAATACTGACCAGAATGATATGCAGTGGTCTCTGCTGCATACCAACAACCTACCCATTGTCATGTTTTCTGTAGGCTTTGTTAGCGACTGGTAAAGGTATGACCAACCCCCAGCCTGAGGAATGGCCAGGACACAACCCCCCCCTCAAATCCTCCTCCCCGCTTGTCCCTCTCCAGAGCGATGTGGCCCAGGGGATTAGCGGGGCCAGTTGGGTGCTGGCTGCAGGGATCCACCTCCTCACCACGCTCACAGATGGTGGTAGGACAAGCAGAGCAATGGTCCCAGCTCACTCCAAGTTGCTCCACTTCCTGCAGGTGAATGCAAATGCTGCCTCCTCTCCCAAGTGACAGCTATGGAGGAGCACAAAGAGCTGAGGTTGTTGCTCTGCATACCTTGCCACTGATAGTAAGTGCAGAAGGAGGGCGGACTCCTGCTGCCAGGACCCGACTCTCCCCTAGTCCCTCCGTCTGATGCTGGCCAGCCTGTGGCCCCCCCC